TTGGAGGTAATCGCTCTGGGAAAAACCCCCCTCTATGTGTCTGACGGAAGTTCCCCGTCCACTCTGAGCCTCTGATTCCACATCTGCAACATAGGGCCCATTATAACCGCATGCGGACTCACTTAAACGATGTAAAGCACCTGAGCTCACACTCAAAAGGTCATTTAAAAAGATGCACTTGTACTTGTGCATTGAAGAAGCTGGAGAACCCTCTCTCTAAGTGCATGGTGGTTTGGAAACTGGCAGAGTGGGGTCACTGCCTTTTCCTCTGCACATTCCTGAATGCTAGACCAGGACATGCAGGAAGAAGCTTTCCTCAAAGTGCCAGTTCCAGACGGGAATGAACAGAATCTGAACAGAATCTTACTCTGGGATGAGTGCAGGCCACCCCAGTGGTCTATTATTAGCCAGCTAGGGCATTAAGTGGACTCAATCAGCCTGAAAGTGTTATTGATTTATATCCTGCCTCATTCCTGAAAAGATTAGAAATAGCTTATGAGAAAATGTAAAATACATTGAAAACCATAAGTAGAGAGATGTCTAGAAGGACCCAAAGATTATAACAAATGGGTGGGGGGGGGAATGCAGCTAGAATGCATGTGTAGGCTGAGGTCTTCCTTCACTATTCTTAAGGTAGACCTGCAAACTTGGTTCTGAGCTTCCTGTTGGCCAAGCTGAAAATGAACATACATGGTCTTAGAAATAAAATTTACAGTTCTCATATGAAATAATATACCAATTGATTCTTCGGGGATAGCAAGGCTTTCTTTGACTGGCAGTCAGTTTGAAAGAAATTTCTCATGTGGATATTCTTAAAGGGGTCACTTGAGGACTTAGTGAATAACCATCTCAAAGACATCTTTTTATCTTTTTAGAATGCAATAGAAGATATTGCTGGGCTTTTTTTTTTTTAAAATAGCTTACACCATGTGTGGGCAAAGCACTGAAGTACAGCTCCAAAGAAAAAACAGCTGAGATAGGCAAGATACATTTGTATAAATCACAGCTTTCTGTGGAGCTGTCTTCATCTAGGAATAAAACCAGGAATATTCTTCCAAAAAAACCTTCCATAAATGTAATTTCTCTCTACCAAGTTTTTGATAAACATTGGATGATAGAAAATTTGAAGTTGAGATGACATTTTCTGGCAAGGACCTAGGATGTGGGCTTGCTAATTAAGACCAGATTTGATACATTTAGAGATGAGCAGAACAGAAACAGATACTATCAATGCAGTCTTCTGCAAGAATGCTCACTGCTGCGTGGTGGCATGTGTCCCTCCAATAGCATGCAGCAGATCTAGGAGCAGAAATTGGTCACGCCAATTCTGAGCTCAGCAGTAGCCCACGAGGTGGATGATGACTAGCCACAGAGTCCAGCTGGCCTGCTGGGTGCATCCTGGCTCCAGTGCCCAGAGCCATTCTCCTCTCTTAGTCTTACTGTTCTCATCTTGCAAAGCAGGGATGACACACTGAACTGCCATCAGGTTATGATCAAATGTGACCGTGTGTGTAAAAGACCCTTGTACACAGTGGGCTCCCAACAAATATTTAGCATCACACAATTGTGGCAGGAGCCTAGAGGAGTTGGTGACAGGCAACCACAGGAAAGTTAAGTGGGCTTGTCTTCTATCCTGTTTTAAATATGAATATAATTTTTTCTTTGGGCAAGGAAAAATGTGATCTTAGGTAATAATCGCCTACCTTCAATTAAAATTTTCATAATCTTTCTCCCTCATGTAATACAAAGCAACTTCTAATCAGCTTCTAATCTCTTGCATTCTGGGAACTGTCCCCTAGGCCACCTTTGCCATCTGTGTGTTCAACAGGCAGGACTTTGCAGGGAGCAGAACGACATCCACCCTGCCATCCACACAGACAGGCACAAGGGCTGGTGGGGACGGCTATTTCAGGAGAGCTGACCCCTGACCATCGAAAGCAAAGGCTGCCCAGGGTGGTCATTTAGGTGTCTAGGAAGATAGTAGCAAAGGCAGAAAGAGTTTAGGATCTTTGAAATGCAGTTTGAAGTTGCTTTTGTCTGTGGCCTACAGAATAAAACTCAAACATCACTGTGGTACACCAGGTCCTGTGGGGGCTGGTCTTGCCTCTGCACCCCTCCAGGTTCTGCCTGGGGCTGCCTGGCTTCCTTCCTCCTTCTAGTCCCTTTGAACCTCCTCTGTGTCCATGACCTTCACCTAGGGAGCCCCCTCCCCAAGCCAGCCATCGCCTACTGGCTCTTAAAAACAAGCGCAAATGCTACCCTCTCTGAAAAGAATTTCCTGTTCTCTACGAAGTTTCTGCATGCATGGTAGAGTGAATTTTTTATTCCAATGATTTTATTCTGTCTTTTGGGGGTGGGAACCAAATCTTAATCACTCTGGATGCCCAGCACCAAGCACAGCGGTTGGCACCCAGCAAGTGTCCCATGGAGATGTGTTGAAATGAGTAATTCTGAGGCTAGGAATGGATTCTGGGATGATTGAGCCTGAGAGCAATGCCTGGAGCTGGTACAGTGATTCCTTTGTGCCCTCCCCGCCCCCTGCTGCTCCCAGAATAAGGGTTGGGCTGGGAGGGGGGGGCCTTGCCTGGAGGCCAAAGCAGAGAGACCCACAGGTAGGGATGCTTTTACCTGATGGGGGCCGTGGAGTTCTCCAGCTTCCACCAGGCCTTGGGTGGATTTAGGTAGCGGCACCACAGCTCCCAGTCAAAGCCCTGTGCGGCCAGCGGGTACTCTTCTATCTCAAAGTTGTCATATTTGATGTTGTCAAAGGATGGTGAGATGATCCGTTTCCGGTTCTCCTTTATGCGGGTGAGTACAGGTTCAGCCCTGAGCAAGAGGGAGCGAGGAGAGAGAGAGAGAGAGAGAGAAAGTGAGTAACTGCTCCCAAGGTGGACAAGAACCAGATTAGCATCTCCGGTAGGTCCTTGCTTAGCAGAGAGAGGTAGGAACACCTGGCCGTCTCCGCCAGTGGAGAGGGGCACTGCCTCCTGGGAAGGAGCCCCTGTCCAGCTTCCCATCCCCTGAGCACTTCAGGATG